GGAGCTCTGCAGCAAACCCAGCGCCGAGAACCAAGTGTGAGAGCACAGAGACCCCACCGAGCCCCCTCCTCACTGGGAGGAAGGACACCCCCACGCTGCCTTCCTCCAGCATCTTCCTCACCCAGCCTGGGAGAGGTTTACTGGGAAGTTTGGGCTGTGGGGGAGAGCTCCAGCCCAGCCCAGAGCAGCCCAGCAAGTGTACAGCGAGCCCCTTCCCTCAACTCGAGAGAAGCCCCCAGAGGTTGCCCACAACTTGCCCCCATGCCTGGTCCATGAGGGGGGTGGGGTGGGCTATGAGAAGGAGCTGGAGTGACCACCCTGCTGCCCCACAGGTAGAGGGGATCAGTGGGGTGAGGTTGTCACCAAGCAGGACAGACCCTTCCAGGACAGGACAGACCCTTCCAGGCTGCCAGATCCCCCCCCAAAGCACCCACCACCCCTGGGAAGGGGCAGGGGAGCTGCAGCCTCCCTGCCTGGGCAGGAGCTGGAGAGGGAAGGGATCAATCTGGGACCATGGAGCAGCTGGGAACAAATGACCAGGCTGGTTCCTGGGTGGGGGGTGCCCCAACCCCCCCTCAGCCCCCCCTCTTGTGCTGCAGCATCACCTTTTGGGTACCCAGTTTGTGTTCCTTTGTGCTCCATCCCAATAAAAGTGTGTACGTCTGTCTGGCTCCTTCCTACCTGCCAGGAAAGTTTGGGAAGTGAGGTGGGGAAGGGAGCAGCACCTACAGGGAATCAAGAGCTTCCCAGGAAGCTGCACCCACCAGGGATTTGTTATCCATGTGCTGAGATTCCCCTTTCACCCACCGTGGATATAAATAAGACAACACAGTTAAGAGACCCTGGAAGTGTGAGATGTAGAGGCTGGAAATCCACAGGGAAGGGGAAGGAGACACAGACAGAGGCAGAAGTTAGAGCTTAGCCAGTTTTTTTCAAACCAATTAAGTTTCCTTCATTATTTCAAAATTAAAGAGAAGAAAAAAGAAAAAAAAAAATTAATAAAAAATAATTAAAGAAACCCCAACCTTCACCCCTACCCCCCACTTCCTTCACGAGAGAACCTGAACAGAGCAGAGACAGGAACCACAGGTGCTGGCAGCATCCGTCAGGGCCCCAGCAGGCAGCACTCCACACACGGCCTTAGAAAAGAGATGAGTAAAACCAAAAACCAAACAAAACCCCCCAGAAAACCAACACTTTTCCACCACGAGTTTGAGATTTGGTCAGTAGCGTGTTGGGGTGGTTCCCATGGCTGGGAGGGGGGGGGGGGGTGGGGCCCGGGCCCCCCCCCACCCTCTTGCCGTGTCCTGGGGACAAGGGTGGCAGCGGGATGCTGAGGCTCCTTCCTGGGAGGTGAAGGGAGCTGTGGGGTGACTCTGAACCCGCTGCTGGAGCTCAGGGTGGCAGCTCTGCCCTCTCCCCCCCTCAGTGGAGACCCCAGCATGTTGGTTTCATTTCAGCCAGGGTCCAGATCAGCCCTGTGAGGGGCCAGGGATGAGGAGCAAGTCGGGAGTCACACATCAGACACGTGTCCCCACTTTTCTCTGCCCCACGCCACTGTTGAAAGCAGGATTGAGTACAAGGCCAGGGAAGGAGGAACAACAACTTGAAGCTGCCAGGCAAGGAGCATCACAAAAAAAAACCAAGCAAGACTGCTCGGGCAGGACATCCTCCAGCTGCCACCCACTCAGCACGTGTCTGTGGGGCTGCACAGAAGTACCCAGCACTCCTGGTAGGGGATGGGGAACTGCCAGGGTGGGTGTAAAACAACCTTCCCTCAAGCACCAGCCTTTGTGAGGACCCCACAGCCAGGAGGGTGTTCCCAGGCACAGGACAGGGAGTGTGGAGTGGAAGAGGAACCGTGCCACAGCATGGAGGTCACCCACCACCCTGGCCCCAGCCTCTCCTCCCTCCTCTGCCGAGGAGGCACCAGCAGCCAACTTTTTTTAGTGCCAGGGAAGAGTCAAGGCTCTGAAAGCCTGTTGAGGATGGCTGAGAAACACAGGGGCGAGGCAGAGGGGACATGGGGACATGATGACACGACACAGAATCAGGGCTGAGGTTCTGCAGAGCGGTGTTGTCACAGCCTGGCAGGGAAGGGGAGGGCACGCCGCTGCCAGGCAGAGCTTCCCCTGTTACACCCCGTGCACAACCGCTCTGTGGCCAGCACGGGGCAGAGATAAGCAGCAGGAAGATGAGCTGCCCAGCTCCTTCTGTCCAGCCCACAGTGAGGTGTGAGCCCCCCGGGAAGGAGGGGAAGGAGGGTTCCTGCCATCACTGCTCTTAGCCCCAGCTAAGCCACACGAAAAGAAGGAGCACGGGAAGGAATCGTTGCCAGCAAAACACCTTCTGAGTTGTTTTGGCATCAAAATGTCTCCTGAACAACCCCTGTCACGTTAACCAAGACAAACAACGCCACAGATGAGAGGAAGGAGGGAGGAGGAGGGAGAGAGGACGCTACTGCCACAAATTGCTTTCCCTTTGCCATCAGGATTTCCCCAGCAGTAGGGAACAGGCTGATCTTAACGTCGCTTCTGAGCTGCTCGACCACGGAGTCATCACGTCAGAGAGTCAGGGCCAGATGAGAAGGACAAGCCAGGTCACCGAGCTGGTATTTAACATCCAGGACAACCTACAGAGCAAGAGGTCCTGCCTCGACCTGCAGACAGACCAGTTTCAGTGGTGACAAGTTGCCCCTGGGTGACCAAGGCGTGGGTCACTCGCCCTCGTGCCAGCGTGCACCGCCCCGCACTGCCTGCCTCTGCATCCGGGGTGAATAAATTGACTACAGGAAAATGACCATGAGGAATGGTTTGCCTGTCATCCAGCTCATCTCCTCCTCTCCTCAAATCACTTCCAGCTTGGATTAGACAAAACAAGAAAGTTCTCCTTTTCAAGCAGAGGTTAGTGCTCTGCTTGCCCAGCGTCCTGGGATGGGACCGGGAGCTCCCCAGGTGGTAGTTGCTTCTCCTCTGGCATCTCAGCGTTGCTCAAGGATGGTGCAGGGAGCTGGAGAGAGAAGACAGCAGTGACTTTTGGGGTGAATACACCCCAATATAGAGCTCCCCCACCACCCTCCTCCTGCCTCCAGCTCTACCAGGCAGAGGTCTTGGCTGTGCTTGGGAAAAGGAGAAACCAAGGGCCACCAAATAACAGCTTCGTGAAGAGCTGGAGCACTGGACTTGGTGCAGAAGAAGTGGTCTGAGCTCTCTCCACAGGCAGCTCATGCCCAGGCAGTAGGCCCAGTCACTTCCCACCACGTTCATAGAATAATTTAAGTAGGAAAGACAACCCTGGAGGTCTCCTGTCCAACCACAGGCCTAATTTCAGAGACAGAGCTGGCTGCCTGGGGACATATCCAATGATGGAGATCCCTCCCACACCTGCCAGGGCTCTTCCCAGGGACAACCCTTCAGCTTGCACTCAGTGCCAAAGCAAGATGCCTGCAATCTCCCCCTCCCCACCTCAACCCCTCCATAGGTGCCAGCTCCTGGGTGCTCTCGTGGCAGGATTGACATCTCCAAAACCACAGGCAGCTGTGATTTCCTTTGAGGCTCTCCTAGGAGTCAAGAGGAGCCCAGCACCTTCCCCAACCAGCTCCAGACTGATGTTTGTTTTCATGGCCAGAGCACAGCAGCCTCTCAGCAAAGCCCCAAGTGTCACTTTCTTCTGCTCAGTCACGTTATCAGCTTTCTCTCTGCTGGCCCAAAGCTTCAGCAACTCCAAGCAGGCACAGCTCACCCACAGAGAGAGGGAAGGAATCACTCACGGCACTCAGGTGAGGAAGGTTGCCATCCTTCTGCTGGGCACTGCTCTCCTCTGCTTGCCCACCAGGACCCTGAGCAGCAGTGGGTTCTTGAGCACTAGGTCCTCGTGGGCACGACT